AGTAATAAGTGTAAAATGTATTGATATAATTTGTTGTTCTGTGAATGGTGTTTTGGTTACATGTACCATCCATTGTCTATGTTCATTTTTTTTTCTCGTTAATGAGTATAGCTTCCATATATTTTCTCTATTTAAAATCTTTGTTTTTTTGTAAAATACAAACTTTAAATCGGTTCTGGTTTTCTGTGTTTGGAGATCTATGTTTCTGTAGGAAATGTTCTGCTGGAGCAGTTTTGTGTTGGTTATGTGTATATAGCGCATTGATGTGTTCTGAGATGCGTGTGTGGAAAGGTCTTCCGGTTTCTCCTATATATATATGTGTCTCCACATATATTACACATGATTTGATAAGCTACGTTTTTGATGTGGCACATTAATCCTGCTCCGTTTTCTCTGGTGTAACATTGTTTTTTGGTATATTTTGTTTGTGTGAATGAAGAGTGAACAAATAGTTTTTTCACTATTTACCCGTTTTTGTGTTACGTTGATTGTCAGTTGGGATTGTTTAATGGCTTTACGAATCTTGTTTGTGATTGTATAGTTTATAAAAAGAATGTTCATTGTTGGCGTTTTCGTGTAAGTCTTTTTTGGTTTTGGTCTGTTGCTGTTTTTGTGATTTGAAAACAGTATCGATGTAGTATTCAGAGTATCCGTTTCGTAATAGCAGTATTTTAAAGTCATTTTGTTCTGTTTGAATGACATTCGGTGTGGAGCAGTTTTGATTTATTCTCTTTAATTATTCTATTATGGTTCCACTTTTGATTCGTTCTAGGTGGTGTGATTTGTAATGGAGAAATATCGGTTTCTTGCATTCTTTGTTATGTATGGAGCTGCGTATTTGTCTGTCTTGGATTTTTCGGGTTACGTCTAAGAAGGTTAAGTATCCTTCTGCGTTGGGTAGTTTTAGTGTGAACTTGACTGAGGGGTGGAAGTTGTTTAGGAAATAGTAAAACTGCTGTGTTTCATTTCCACGATTCCAAATACTAAATATTTCATCGATGTATCTGTACCACACATCTGATATTAAACCTGTTTTTTGTTTACATGTGTCAAAGGCTTTGGTTTCTAGTGTATGCATGAATATTATAGCAAATGTGACTGCTGTTCTGTTACCCATTGCTACTCCTTTCTCTTGTTTGTACAAAGTATCACCAAATATAAAATAACTGTTATGTAGGACAAAATTGAGCATTGTGCGGATGGTGTCTAATGTGATGTTCCCTGGTAAAGTATGTTGATCAAGTGAAGATGTGAAGTTAATGATGCTATCTGTGCCTTCTTCTATGGGTATTGATGGGTACAAGGCGATTACGTCTACGGAAAATAAAATGGAGTCAGTGCATCTTCTTTGTGTACAAAAGTGTATCTTTTCTAATAGGTCTTTAGTATTGGTTAAGTGTGATGGAACATACTTTAGACATGGTTTAAACAGGTGATCAAGTAATCAGGATATGGTTTCTGTTGCAGAGTCATACGCTGACATTATGGGTCTTAAAGGTAAATTTTGTTTATGGTCTTTAGGGACTCCATAAAGTTCAGGTATACGGCTATGGGAGGGTTTTAATTCTGTTATTAATTTCACTGATAAAGCACTTTCTTCTTTTAGATGTTTGAGTATCTTTTTGGCTTCTTTTTCAACCGTTTTGGTTGGATTTTTGCTTAATGTAGTATAGGTGAAAGTGTCTTGAAGATGTTCTTCTATTTTATCTTGGCTAAAACTACAAAACCTTTTCTTTTCTTTTGTCTGATTCTTTTATGATTAGATTGGCGTTCCTTCGGAGTTCTTTATAGCTGCCTTTTCTGCTGATGATATGTTATCATTTTCTTGATGATTTTCATTTGTAGTTAGGATATTTTTAATCTGGTGCCGTAGAAAGAAGATTTTTTGTTCTGTGACTATAGATGTTTTTGGCGGTTGATACTTCTGTGAGTCAAATGGTGATTGCTGATTGATAGATGATTTTGATTATGTTCTTGGTAATTTGTATCCTCTAGTGGATGTTGGTTGGTAGAAGATGGACGTACGTTGTCTGGGGTATCGTCGAAGATTTGACTTGTTGTTTTCTATAGTTTCTTGTGTCGAGTTTGTGAGCTGTTGATTTTTTCTTTAGGTTCATGATGTATTACTTAAATAAACATTCTAGGCTAAACACGCCGAAAAAACCGAATAATGAGACGTCGTGTTGAATATTCAGTTTAACAAATCTTTGATATCTTAAAATTCGGCACAAATTAATCGTTATTAATTCTTCAAGTACACGACGTTAGGGGCTGAGGTGCCACATGAGATGAAGAATAACCATTTGTGATAATCTTATTTTAATCTATGTGTAAGTTAAATCTTAGTTACTAAAAGTACCTCCAAATTAGTAATTCAGAAAATGTACCAAGAAGTTTGCTTCAGGTGCTCAAACAAGTACAAGAAACCTAATTGAATAGTTACATGTAAATTAGTATGCTTCTGTTAATATGCACAATTAATGTTTAATGTGCTTTTAACACTAAAACTCGGAATTTTAATGTTTGAGGCCTCAAGCTTATCGCAGAGCCACAGGGGGAAGGAGCAGGAGAAAGGAACCAGAATTTCTTTGCTGCTTTTGACTTTAAATGCTGCAACTAAATAGATTACTTAGCTATTAAAGCTAGTCTCAAAGCTCGTTAGATTATACTCAGTTACCCATCTCATAAATATTTCATAGCTAAAGAATAGCTACAGTAATGAAATCTGCATTGTTACAGTTAAAGTCATGTGGCTTTTGTATCTTTTAATAATTATGTGCAAAAAAATATGGATGGAGAGGAAGAAAAACAGGGACTTCTGGGAAAAATAAGTGCTAGAGCATGATAATTTATTTTTGGAGAATAATCATAAGACACGAAAATTAAAAGAAAAAATCTCTAAAGCTGTTTTATTCTTGAATCAATACATGACAGGTGTCAGAACTGATTTACAAATAACTACAGCTTTTGCATGTTCATTAAACTGCACCTAAATATTCTTGTTAGATCTGTCTCTTCTTGATCAATGAGGACTAGAACTCAAAAAATTGTAAATTGCATTTTAGAAAAGTGACGTCGACTTATAGAACCCTCAGCAAAGCAAATGGTAATTTGTCTCAGATCTGTACTCGAAAACATAATATCAATTCTTTCAGGAGTTACTTGGCACAAACTATTGTAAAGTTTTGTTGTTACTCGTAATCTTCCTTGATCAAGTTTCATAAAAAGTTCTAATTCATTTATATAACGGTCAGCTCTAAGTTCAAAAGTGCAAGAAAACCAACGCAAACAAGTCTTAAAACTTTGTACTGCTTTCCCATCAAATGTGAAAAGTTACAGGTTTACTAGTTTTTAATTTTCTACCGGATTTCTCCACATCTAAGATCTGGAACCCGTTTTGGATTTTAT